TTTTTTTTAAAGACAAGGTCTGACTTTGTTGCCCAGGCTGGACAGCAATAGTGTGATCTTGGCTCACTGCAACCTCCACCTCTTGGGTTTTAAGTGATCCTCTCACTCAGCCTCCCAGGTAGCTGGGACTACAGGCACACACCACCACATCTGGCTAATTTTTCTGTAGAGACAAAGTCTCACTGTGTTGCTGACGCTGGTCTCGAACTCCTGAGCTCGTGATCTGCCCTCCTCAGCGTCTCAAATGCTGAGATCAGGCATGAGCCACCATACCCAGCCTGAGCCTGTAGTATTTTAATGTTATCATTCAGACTTGATATTCATACTTTGCATTCATGCTTGCTTTTTATGGCTGACAAAAGTTTTACGTCCCAATAATGTGAGGTCTTTGAGGACAGACTTTGTGACTATCAATCAGTTATAGATAATTGTGGTTCTTGACTTCCATTGATCTCAACTTGTAATATAACAGTCAAGATACAAAGGATAATAGCATTTTAACAAATAACAAACAGCTGTGCTCTTCAAAGCCTCTATCGTTTCTCTTTATGGTTCACGGTATTCCCAAAGGTTAGTAAGGTACTAGAGCTCAGAAGAAGGAAGTGTAGCACTGGAGGTGAAACTGATTTTTCTGATCATGGAGCCTTCACTCATCAGGTGCTGTACCAAAGAAAGGGAAGAACACTCTGTTCTCCACAGAATGACTCAGATTTCTAAAGTGGATCCTAACCTACAGCTTTCTCTTATATGAGATGGAGCTTGAATTAGTGTAGGTTTTATATATTACTATTAAGGAAGGGTGGTCTTTAGGAATTTTCAGAGAGAACTTTATGGTTCTAAATTACTATTTCAGTAGCACAATTTGAAAAGGGATGGTTTAGAAGTGACATGGAGTTAGGGAAAGAGAAATATAAATTGGAAAGAAGAAACTTTTTAGAACATTCATCGAATGAACTTTTAATGAGTACTCAATATTTATAAAGACGAGGGATTACATTAAAACTAAAAAAAAATTTGTAAGCCTAATCTATGTTAGTACTTCCACACATTCTGTTATTGAATCTCTCCAAAGAAATTGTTAACCCTATTTGGTAGATAATGAGACTCTTTTCAGAAGTTAAGTATTTTTAGTAGAGATGGGGTTTCACCATTTTGGCCAGGCTGGTCTCAAACTCCTGACCTCAAGTGATCCATCTGCCTCGGCTTCCCAAAGTGCTGGGATTATAGGTATGAGCCACCACACCCTGCCAAGAGAACCCTTTTGACTGAATTGAGTTATAGGAGAAATATAGATGGTAAATCTGGTGGTTCTGTGGTCATTTGTTGATACAACTCTATTACGGAATTTATCCTGGTCTGTCTTATTACTTGTATGTGTCTCACTCCACTACTAGATTGCGAGTTACTGTAGAGCAGAGGCCATGATTGTCTCATATGTCTTGGTAACTACTTCAAATTTATTTAAAATAATCTGGGCATCCCTTTTTTAAAGCTGTCTTTATTTCACAGTATCTGACGTGGTATCTTGCACATAGTAGGTAGGTGCTTAGTAAATGTGGGAATAAAATGGAGCCCAAGCCTCATAGGACTAGTTGTCCTTGAAGAAGGTGGTGTTTCAGCCCATGTCCCAGCACTTCTCTTGGTGGACTCAGCAGGGATTTGGGACCCAGTAATTAAATAGCTGAGAAGGTAATATTCATCCTCTCATCTTCTCAGAAGGATGTTGATAGCAGAGTGCATTATATTAATACATGATAGGGGGTACAAGCATAGCAATGAGACTTGGGATTTGGCTTAGGCTTGCAATAGCCAAAGAAATGCTGAGGGGTGATTCATTTTGGTAAGGTAGAAATAGCGTTTGGACGCGAAGTAAAAAAAAAAAAAAAAAAAGTCTGTGTTGTACTTGGCTGTGCTACTATCTAACTTTGTGACTTTTGACAAGTATCTTCTGCCTCTGAGCGTCAAATTCTTCATTTACATTATGGTGATAACAAGTTTCAAGGCCAGTTGCCACCCATAATCTGAAAATGGGAAATTTATTTTACCCAAGCTGTTATGAGTTCAGTCGAGATAGTTACTGAATTTTTTCCCCTGAGCTATTTGACTAGTTATCTTTGGGACACCAGGCAGCCTGCGTGATCATCTGTGGCAGGTGTGACTGTACCCTGAGAGACACAGTGATGAAAACACCTGGTGCTAGAAATAGGAAACAATGCCTGAACAGTTGCATGCATCCATTCTGGAATATATTAACCTTTCCTTTTGGGAGAGGCCAAATTAAGATCTGTTATATTACCTCTAAAAACCATAATGTGACACTGGAGCTTCAGGATTGAAAAGTGAGATTATCTTAATTTACAGCAGCAAGGTGATTTGGGCCTAACTTCCAGATTTATTTATTTATTGACAGAGTCTTGCTCTCACCCAGGCTGGAGCGCAGTGGCAGGATCTCAGCTCATTGCAACCGCCATGTCCTGGGTTCAAACGATTCTCGTGCCTCAGCTACCCAAATAGCAGGCATGCACCACCATGCCCAGCTCATTTTTGTGTTTTTTGTAGAGATGGTGTTTCACCATGTTGGCCAGGCTGGTCTCAAACTCCTGACCTCAGGTGATCCACCCACCTCGACCTCCCAAAGTGCTAGGATTACAGGAATGAGCCACTGTGCCCAGCCTCCCTAACTCTTAAGTAGTAGTGTGCCTTCCTACCAGTCACTAATCTCTTTGTGCTTCAGTGTCTTAGACTGTAAATTATTGAAAAGCTACACTTTGTTGAATGTCCATTATGTGTCATTTATGTATGTCATGTACTTTATGTACATCATGTGTTACCTGCAGCAGCAAAGTGAGAGCAAATGGGAACTTAGGCCTTGAAAGGCAAATTGTGTGCAAGATCCAACAGGTAGGAAATGGCAGAACTAGGATTAGAAGCCACATCTTTCACTCTAAAGCCTGTGTACTTTATATACCTATACTGTTATTTTTTCTTTTATTTTCTAAAAGCTTTTTTAGGGCTGGGGTCTTGCTATGTTATCCAGGCTGGACTCGACTCCTAGGGTCAAACCATCCTCCAGCTTCAGCCTCTGGAGTAGCTGGGACTACAGGCTTGTGGCACAGCACCCAGATACACCTATACTATTCTGCTTCATTTGCAGCATAGGGACCTACTGTATATGATTTCTAGGATTGTTGCTAGGAACAGATAGGATATCAGATACCACATTGCTTTTGGCCATTAGAATTTTATAGTTAAAGGGAACTCATGAGCAGCTCTAGTGTAATTAAGACTCTGGATCCAAATCCCAGCTCTGCTACTTATTGAGCTTTGGACTTCCGATAAGTTGCTTAATCTCTTCATGCATCTTTTTGTCGTCTATTGAAAGGGAATAATAGTACCAATCCCATACAGTGGCATGAGGATTATGCAAAGCATTTTGAATAGTATTTTGCATGTAGTGAGTATTTAATATATATTAGTAAATAGCAGTACAGTTGGGATTGTTTTATTTACTCCCTTGTTTTAGTTATGGTGAAGGTGAAACAGTGCTCAAGATAAAGCAGCTAATTAAAGGCACTGAAAAGAATAAAGTTTATATATATAAGATTATATTGAATATTTTACAAATAATAATTTAGTGTTAAATTCCATATATAGTGACAACATTACCCTCAGTCTATAGGTGGGCAGTGGGATAGGCTACAGGGGGAAGAGAGAGCTAGAGCCTGGGTTAATGATTTATCTGGCAAGGGTTCTGGGCATTTCATCACTAACATTTATTGGTTGCCTTTTTTTTTTTTTTTTAACCCTTCATGAATGCCAGTATTGGTTACCTGTTACATAGACCTATTGAGCCTCTAACTTCTTCATCTTAGACAACTTTGCAAAAGACTCTTTCTGATTTTCAAGTTCTGTCAGATATCTGTGTATTGGCTTTTTATCTAGTTGTTTTGGTGAAACCCAAGACTCAGACTTGGAGTTAAGTATAACAGACTGTATGCTCTGGATTGACTTGAAGTTTAGGTATAAGGAATACCCTGCATGATCCATCTCAAATTATTATAGTTCTCTGTATTGCAATTGGAGGCCTCAGTCCTAGCTAATATAAAGTATAACTTCATTACCTGATTTTTTGCTTTTTGTTCCTTTTGTTCATGAAACTCCTTTGGTAATATCAATATGTTCCCTTTGTTCATGAAACTCCTTTGGTGATTTTACCAGGTATAGGATTTGGATATTCCTCAGTATCATCACACCGTGTGACAACACTCTAATCTCACCAGTGTTTTTAATGTGTACACACATACCTGTCAGTCTACATTTCAAAAAAACCCAGAAAGAATGTTTGACGGAGCATCATTTTTAGGTAGTTTCGTAGCATACAGAGGCAGTCAATATGAAGTACAAATTTGGGGAGACTAGGTTAAATGCTACAGAAGAAAGATTCTCATTTATGTGACATTGATTTTCCCCCCATCTTTCTAGGTTGCTATGGTGACTGACTATGGAGCCTTCATCAAAATCCCAGGCTGTCGGAAGCAAGGTAGGAGCCTATAGCTTGAAATTCAGCCCTCTGATTCTACTCTCTGCTATCACCCTACCACCTCCTAATTATAGGCTTTACATTTTTCAGACAGTTTGTTGTTCATTTCTTTTTAATGTATAGATATGAACACAAGATGCCAGTTCATTTTTAGCGGGCAGAAGAATGGTGGTCTCTGACTCAGGGGGAAGACTGGGGTATAGCTAATTGGGTTTACTTCTGAAACCAGCTTCTTTCTAGACTTCACTTGTGACCCTAGGCAAATCACTTGACTTCTTTAGATACGGAATTTGCGGGAGGGCAAGCTACCTCTGTCTGAGGCTGACACTGAATTTTCAAGTAGATGGTGCATGAAATGGGAATAGTATTGTAAGTGATACAAATATATATTATATATGTAATGTTTTAAGTTTTCTTCATAAATAGGCATCTATTGAACACTTTTTGAGAATCTCATTGTAAGCCTATAATCTTATTTATTTCCCAAAACTATGTTAAGCAGAAAAGGCAGGTTCCACAGACTGGTTGTCTGCCCAGAGTGATTTGGCTAGGTAATGGCATAGCCAAGACTAGAACCCAGTCCTTCTGATTCTAGCCCCTGGATCTTGCCACTATATCACACTGCTGGTGGAGCAAAACTACTTCCTTTTTTTTTTTTAGAGATGGAGTTTAGCTCTATTGCCCAGGCTGGAGTGCAGGGGCACGATCTTGGCTCACTGCACCTTTGCTTCTCAGGTTGAAGCGACTCTTCTGCCTCAGCCTCCGAGTAGCTGGGACTACAAGCACACACCACCATGCCTGTCTAATTTTTTTGTATTTTTAATAAAGACAGGGTTTCACCATATTGGCCAGGCTGGTCTCAAACTCGGCCTCGTGATCCACCCACCTTGGCCTCCCAAAGTTCTGGGAATACAGGTGTGAGCCACCATGCCCAGCTCAACTTGCTAACTTCTTATGCTAAAATAAGTTAAAATTTAATTAAAGATTTTAATGTACAAAAAGTAACCATAAGAGTACTAGAAGAAAACATAGAAGAATATTTTGTTACATAAAAATGAAAAACTTAATTGCAAAAATCATTGTAAACAGAGTTAAGTTGGAAAAAGAATTTGTAGTACATATGATAAAGAGTGGGTATTAGGAAAAGGTGCCAAGGATATGAAAAGACAACTCAGAGGAGAAAAAATATTACTTGGTACTATAATAAAAGATACTCATTCTCAGTATAATTAAAAAGTAACTTAGACTGGTAGATTCATATAATGGGATATTACTCAAAATACGAAGGAATGAGAATAAAATATTGATACATGCAACATCCCGGATTAATATCCAGAAATTATGCTGAGTGATAAAAGCTAATCTCAAAAGGTTATACACTTTACGATTCCATTTATATAACATTCTTATGTTTTAACTTGAGATATGATTCACATACCACATATTTCACCTGCTTAAAGTGTGCACTTCAGCGGTTTTTTTGGTATATTCAGAGTTTGCGACCATCACCACAATCTACTTTGAGAACACTGTTGTCACCCCAAAAGAAACCCTGTACCCATTAGCCATCACTCCATATTCTCTCTATGTCCTCAGATTTAGGCAATCATTTTTCTACTTTGTCTCTGTATATTTGCTTATTTTGTACATTTCTTATAAATGGAATAATGCAGTATGTAGTTTTTTGTGACTGATTCTTTTACTTAACCACATTTTCAAGATTCATCTGTTTTGTAATATATACTTCATTCTTTTATTGCCATTCCAAATTAATTTATTGCAATTCCATCATTTGATGGATATTTGGATTGTTTCCACTTCTTTAGTATTATGAATAATGTTGCTATAAATATTTGTGTACAAATTTTTGTGTGGATATTTGCTTTCATTGGGTATATACCTAGGAGTAGAATTAGTAGGTCATATGGTAACTCTATGTTCAACTTTTTGAGGAACTGCCAAACTGTTTTTCCAAAGTGACCATACCATTTTACAGTCCCACCAGCAATGTATGAGGGCTCTACTTTCTTTACATCTTTGTTAACACTTGTTATTATCTTTTTGGGTATGACCATCCTAATGGATGTGCTGGGACATCTCATTGTGGTTTTAATTTCCCTAATGGCTGATGATGTTAAGCCTCTTTTCATGTTTGGCCATTTGTATATTTTTTGGGGGGGGAATGTCTATTCAAATCTGATATGGTTTGGCTGTGTCCCCACCCAAGTCTTGTCTTGAATTGTAGCTCCCATAATCCCCACGTGTTGTGGAAGGGACCAGGTAGGGATAATTGAATCATGATGGTGGTTTCCCCCATTCTGTTCTCATGAGAATGAGTTAGTTCTCACAAGATATGGTGGCTTTATATTTTTTATTAAACCATCATTTGCTGGGCACTCATTCTCCTTCCTGCTGCCCTATGAAAAAGGACATGTTTGCTTCCCCTTTCCCCCATGATCGTTAAATTT